GGGGGGGGGTTGGGGGGTGGAAATCACAACCGAACAAAGGTCACAGCATCCCTCTTACACAACTTTCTTAGCACTAGCTTGCCCACACAGACTGACAGAAGGTTCACACGAAGTTCAAGAGGAACCATCAAATGAACCGAACCAGAAGAATAGACCCTAGGCTAGACCCAAACACATGTAGGTTTCCCCACGGATCCAGCGCTTGTTCAACCACTCTAACACCCAAAAATCCCTCGGCCGACACCCAACAGAGATTTAGCTTAACTTAGCTGATTGGTTCTCCTTCTGCCTTAAATCTCGACCAACCTCGGAACCTAGTCACTTGACCTGACGAAGCTTTTGCGTCAAAAGCGAAACGTTGCCCAGCAATAAATCTACCGATTGTCACCAAATATTTTCGAAAAGCATAAAGGCATCTTTGGAACCTCAGGAGCGCTTCTTTTATATGGGTTCTATATCTCGACACGAATCGTATCCTAGTAAGACGATTCATTTGCAGAATAACTGTTGTAAAACATTGATTTGTTGGTTAAACGGCAATGTAAAATACCGGTCTTTGTCCTTTTGGCTACGAAGTGCTAGGTCGTTGTAATGCTATGCAATAGATTAAAAACTATCCAACCAGCATACTGTTCTCAGACGCTTGTTACCCTCTGCAGTCCACGGTCAAATTTAATACGATAAAGGAAGGAGTTCGAAACAGTTGCTTGTAGAAAAGCACTATTAAAGTGAAAGACAAATTTTGTCGAAAAGACCAAAAAATAAGTGCAGTCTTTTTTCTTCTGGGGATCACATTTGACTGATACCGGAATCCTTCATGGCTAGAGATGCTTTCGAATAACAAAATGATCAGTAACAGCAAGATTGCATACTTCTTTAACAGGGGGAAACAATTATCATTCTTTGCCAGTGCAGTTTCACACACACCTCGCCAAGTTGAATAGAACTTCCGCTTTCGTCGGAGGGGAATACTTCAGATATTCCATGTCTCTGTTTATGAGTTATCTACGAATACTAACACAAGATGGTGAATATATATATATA